TGACCTCTGGTGACCTGACCTTTGACCTGACCAAAAAATTGACCGAAGTGATTTCCTCATTATTTTTGACGCTCTTTCGAACGCCGCCTTCCGCGTATCGCTACGTGGCCCAGGAGCCGAGTTAGAAGGGGGGGGGTGTTCAAACACCCCCCCAGCAGGGCGTGGAAATCCAGGACCCCCAGCCGGGCGCGGGTTAACCCTCGCCGGCACAGGGGGATGCAACCCCCCTAAGGTTTTTCGCGAATAATTCGCGTAAAAAGAGGCTGATCGCGACGAAACTTTCAGTACCTTCGCCTTAATCAATTTTACACCTACCCTGAAAATTTCATGACCCTGTCCTAAATGACCTTTGACCTGTGACCACTTTTCCGAAACCATGTTTGGCCGGATTCGCGATTCGGCGTATGTCGGCTCGCATTAGCCGCGCGTATGCAAGCTTTTCGTGGTTTCAAACGTTCAAACATATTGTGAGTTGATGTTGCTCCCATGTATTAGGGTGGGTGTCAAAGTCACCTGAAGGTCAGGTCAGGTCATTGACCTTTGGTGACCTCGGTTCACTTTTTCGAGTTTTACATGTTTCTAGGCTGGTTTTTGGAGCTGAATTCGAATTTAGCATCTATATGAATATTTACGAAGTAGTTTTGGTGCCTCCGTAACATGTTACCAAGCTGTCAGAGGCGGATGACAGGTACTACGAATACCCGTCACGACCCCTACCGGTTGACCTGACCTGACCTGACCCGACCTGGTCTTAACGCTTAAAGACATCATCTGTGATCAAAACTAACACGATATTCGTGATCAGTGCACCCCGCAAAACCCCTTAGAAGCCACACTTTACGACTTTCTCACAGGTCCCGATATTCCCGATTTTTGGGTTATTGACCTGACCTGGAAGGTTAACCAATGACCTAAGACCTTAAAATTGGGTATCATTGGCTTCGTCTAGTGACGGGCAACAAGCTCATTTTTCCGCGAAGCTCTATCTCGATCAGGGGCCAAACGCGAGAGGTCGCACCAACCCCTTGTGCCGTCGAAGGACGCGAAATGGCCTGTGCCGGCGAGGGTTAATTTAGGTCGCGAGTAAACCGTAGTTCATTATACAAAACACACCTAACGAATAATCTCCCTTCCTTTATATGTCAAAGAAGACATTGTTGATGAGTTAGAGAAAAAGGTCCGTTTTGGTAATTCCTTACCTAGAATGAATGTTCTTACCTAGAATGTTCTTACCTAGAATGTAGGATAAGAGGCAAGGGAGCTGGGCTCATGGGATGCTGCCTCTCTCACTGTCTATTCATGTATTGGTCGTATCTGTTTTTGAATGAACTGATGCTGGGACTTTCTACCACTTCTTGAGGCAAACTATTCCAGTGGTCAACAACTCGTGATGAGAAGAACATGGTTCTCTTGAGGGTTCTGTGTCTTGGCTTGGCGAGTTTGAGTGAGTGGCCGCGAGTCCTGTCGCTGCGTGGTCCAGCGTCCATTTGAAGAAACTTATCACCAGCTTTCACCACATCAAAGCCCTTGACAATTTTGAAGACTTCTATCATGTCACCTCTGACTCTTCTTTCTTGTAGAGTAGTGAGATGGAGCCTCTTGAGACGGTCTTCGTAGGGTAGGTCAGCTATGGACGGTATTAGTTTGGTTGCCCTTCTTTGAACTTTCTCTAGCTTGAGTATGTCCTTCTGTAGATACGGACACCATGCTTGGACAGCAAACTCCATCCTGGGTCGCACTAGTGCTTTGTAGATAGGTACAAGTATGTGTTCGTCCAGGCAGGAGAAAGTCCTTCTTATTCTACCCAGCATAGAGTTTGCCACAGAGGCCGCTTGGGCGACTTGCTCGGATGGTTTGAGGTTCGGCGTTATCAGTACTCCAAGGTCCTTTTCCTTCTTGGTAGTGGCTAAGGTAGTTTGTCCCATCGTGTACGCATAATTCAAGTTCTTCTCTCCAAAATGCATGACCTTACACTTTTCCTTGTTGAAGTCTAGCAGCCAGGTCTTACTCCAAACTTGTAAGCTGTCCAGGTCATTCTGCAAGATGGAACAGTCATCCGACGACTTGATGCTCCTGTAAATCTTCGCATCATCTGCAAATAACTTTCCTGGGGACTGCAAGTTATCCAGAAGGTCGTTGACAAAGAGCAGGAACAAGACAGGGCCGAGAACACTGCCCTGGGGGACACCACTCCACACAGTTCTCCACCCAGAATGACTGCCTCGGATGCATACTCTCTGTTCGCGATTCTTCAAGAAACTGCTGATCCATACTCCAAGCTGGCCCTCTATACCAGCAGCTTTGAGTTTGGCAAGGAGGTGGCAGTGTGAGACCGAATCAAAGGCCTTCCTGCAATCTAGGTATATGGCATCCGCACAGCATCCTTCATCAAGAGCATTTTCAAGGTCATACGTAAATTCAAGCAGCTGGGTGAGACATGATTTCCTTGAGCGAAACCCATGCTGGTGTTGACTTAGTAGTGTGTTAGTCTCTAGATGTTCAACTATCCTCTTCTTTACAAGCTTCTCCAACACCTTGCAGGGGACAGATGTGAGGCTGATTGGACGGTAGTTGAGAGGATCTTCACGGTTCCCTTTTTTGAATATCGGTGATACATTTGCTCTGGTCCAGTCTCTTGGAAGTCTGCCATCTTCCAATGATTTCTGGAAGATAATCAGCATGGGTTTGGCCAGACTTCTTGAACAGTTTTTCAGGACAATGGGGTGGACGCCATCAGGGCCAGGCGCTGATGGAGTTTCTAAATGTTGCAGTATGTTTACAACCTCACCCACATCAAATTTACACTCGGTAAGTTTTCTTTCGCTGAGACACTGGATGATAGGTGGACTGTCAGACGTTGTGTTAAAAACCTTTTGAAACTGTTCGTTCATTTCTTCACATGCCTCCTTTAGGTTTCGGGTAAGTTGCCCATCTGACTTCCTGACCATCGTAATGTCTTCTTTTATAGTTGTCTTGCTACGTGCGTACGCATAGAAAGCTTTTGGGTTTTCCTTGATCTCACTCGCTAGCTTGGCTTCAAAGTCGTACTTTGCTTTCCGCACCGCACTTGTAGAAGCATTTCTCATTTGGGTGTAGAGTTGGCGTAACCTCTTTGATTTCTTGTTCGCACGAAGTCTTGTCCATGCCTTCTCTTTCATTCGTACAAGGCGTAGAACCTCATTAGTCACCCATTTCTTCTTGTGTCGTTTGTTTTTCACAAGTGGGTATACTGGTACAGTTTGGTTTATGACTTCCCAATAGTGATTTAGGAAAGTATCCCAGGCTCCCTCCACATCTTTAGTTGATAGCTCATCAACCCAATTTATTCGGTCAAACATGTTTCTTGCAGTTTCATAATCACCTTTATGGAAATTTCTCTTGGGATCAAGTTCCATGGCAGCTTCAGGGAGATGTCTCATGTCAATTTCAAATGAGAAAGAGAGTACACAGTGATCACTAGAACCAATTGGTGCCATGTGCAATATGTTTGTTATTTCTAACTCATCTCTTGTCAGTACAAGGTCCAGTAGCGATGGTTGATCATTCCCTCTGATCCTTGTGAAATTCCGAATATGTTGATATAGATATAGGTTAGAGCACTCATCTAGAAACTTGGACTGTTCACTACCTGCACCACCATCAACTTCATTATCAGACCAGTTTATTTCTTTGAAGTTGAAGTCGCCACAAATGAGAACCTGTTGATCCTTCTTTTTGCTTACCATGCACATTGATTTGATAAGCTGTTCATTGTAGCTTTGTTGACTCCCTGGTGGTCTGTACATACAGGCAACATTGAGGAAATTTGTACCAAACCTGAGTTGGCAGGCAATAGATTCAACATTGTCCCATCCATCTTCTTTCAGTTCCGATGCAGCTATTGTATTTCTGACCATGATCAAGACTCCTCCACCATGGCCAGTGCTTCTATCCTTTCTAAAGATGTGGAAGTCTTCACAGTCAACATATTGTGTGAGCAGACAATCCGTTGATAGCTTTGTTTCAGTTAGACAGATGATGTCATATTCCTTTTGCTGCAAAGTAATGTTAAGTTCTGACCCCTTAATTGCATTCAATCCATCAATATTTGTGTACATACATTTTAGTTTGTTGTTCCTGCCCTCTCCCAAACAGTTCCTGCTATTGTTCACAGTCAAGACTTTATGACGTTCAGCAAGTACAACACACTTGCCAATGGAAACATTGTTTGGGGTTTCCGAACCACTAGACTCCTCTCGGGACGACACTACCCCGAAAGATTTTGTGTGTGTCCCTTCCTTTGGCTTTTAGTTCTTCCCTCAGCTTGTATTGCTTTTCTCTTTCTTCTTTGCTCATATCTCTATTGATGTAGACATGTCGGAACCCAGCATCCCTCAGTTCAAAACGCTTCTGGAACAGTCGGGTTGCATCTTCTTTCGCCTCAAATTTCACCAGAAGCAGGCGCGGCCGAGGAGTGGCACTACTAGAGGCAGAGGCTTCAGAGGGTGGGGCTTGAGTCTCATCTTTCTTGCCGAGTCGGATAACCTCAACGATCTTTAAGTTTGAGCTGTCACCACAAACAGCCTTAATCAGATCAGTCATACTTTGACGGTCATCGTCCTTCCGCTGGTTTGTATTGACCTTCTGGCTTTCTTTGAGGCCATGGATAACAAGATTGTTGCCTCTTTCCATTTCAGTGGCCCTTTCCTGGTACTGAGCCATCTTCTTCAGCGTTTCAGATGTCGACTCCTGCTGTTTAGCCACTTGATCCTTAATAAGGTTCAATTGGCCCTCAACTTTCCTTTCCATTTCTGTCGCACCTTCTTTTTTTGAATCCGTCATGGCTTTGATGATACGCCTTTCCGACTTTTCCATCCGTTCTTCGATTCTTTTTGCAGTATCTAGGATGTTCGTTAGCCTCCCACGACATCCGTTGCAGATCCAGAGGAGTTTGAACTCATCAATTGCATTGAAGGCTTCAGCACAGAGGTTTTGGCATTTCGGGTGGAACCATTCCAAACATGCTTCGCATTGTATGCTTTTTTCTTTGGCACCGATAACTTTGTCACATGGCTCATCACCTCCATGACACACAAATCTTACCTTTTTCGAGGCTTTTCCCTTTTTTCCAGCTTCCCACCAACCACCTACTGTTTCTTCATCACTTTCCTCACCTCGCAACGCTTCAGCGTCGCCGTTTTTGGTTTTTTGATTCTTCGCCATTTTCACTCAAACCTGTTCAATCATTCGCGATCGTAACGCAGAACAAACAAAGAGATCTTCTGATTGGCCGATCGCCTTGTGTTCCCGTGCGTGAGCAGCAGCAGCAACAGGATGCGAACAGGATACTGTGATCAAGGGCGGAGGCAGGGAGACACGTCCGGTCGGTCCGAGAGTCGGGGAGCGAGTCCTTGTGTGTGTAAGAATGATACAGAAATGACCGAAGCCAATTTGAACGACTGGTTTAGATGCTGTTGAAACTCATTTTTCCTATTGAATGTCTTAGCACTTATTAAGCCATTAATGTGGACGTGAATGCCATTCTTCAACCATAATCAAATAAAAAATTGATGACCTCTGCCAATTTCGTTAACTTTAAAAATGAATCATTAAGTAGCTTTGATTGAACACTGGCCACGTCGTGCCCGTCTAATATCTATATTCTGACATGGAAAAAGGCTATCGGGCCGTCGGCATCGTTCTTCAGTAGATAGGTAATAAAAATCCACACTCCAGTTGCTGCTCATTCGCACTTTTCCTGGCCTACCTCCCCAGCCAGGCAAGGCCCGGCACAGCCGCCGCCTCAGTGCCTCGGGCGGTGACCCGTTCAAAGGGGCTCCCAAACCGTCTGGTGATGTGGCTCTCAAACCGACACAGCCCAACAACACACTGCAATGTGGCGCCACCTATAGACGCCAGATTGAACGCCTGGTCGGTAAAATTGGCGGGACGCATGCGTGAAACTCGCTAGTACTGAGTGTTGTTAGTACAAAAGTCGCCCCGTTTGAGCCCGACCTCAGATCGGACGTTGTATGGCTTACGAACGGACCTAAGATAGATTTTGATCACAGAGTCCGTAGATCTATCACAGATCACAGATTGTCCGTTCGTAAGTCAACAACACGGTCCGGAAGTCCTGCTGTACCAGGACACGAGGAAGAACGAAGAAAGAAGAGAGAGAAGCACCCGACAAGACCCGGAAGATAAAACGCTACTCGACCTCTGACCGGACGTTGTTTGGCTTACGAACGGACCTAAGATAGATTTTGATCACAGAGTCCGTAGATCTATCACAGATCACAGATTGTCCGTTCGTAAGTCAACAACACGGTCCGGAAGTCCTGCTGTACCAGGACACGAGGAAGAACGAAGAAAGAAGAGAGAGAAGCACCCGACAAGACCCGGAAGATAAAACGCTACTCGACCTCTGACCGGACGTTGTTTGGCTTACGAACGGACCTAAGATAGATTTTGATCACAGAGTCCGTAGATCTATCACAGATCACAGATTGTCCGTTCGTAAGTCAACAACACGGTCCGGAACTTTTGCTGTACGTGACACGCCACCTGCTGCACTCCCGTCTCCGAGACAAGCTACAAGGCCAGTCACAAGAAGACCAGCTACACCGAGGCCAGGTACAAGAAGGCCAGGTACAAGAAGGCCAGGTATAAGAAGGCCAGCTACAAAAGGGCCAGCTAAAAGAGGGCCAGTTACAAGAAGGCCAGCCACAAGAAGGCCAGATACAAGGAGGCCAGCTACAAGACGGCCAGCTACACCGAGACAAACTACAAAAAGGCCAGCTACAAGAAGGCCAGCTACAAGAAGGCCAGCTACAAGAAGGCCAGGTACGAGAAGGCCAGCTACAAGAAGGCCAGGTATAAGAAGACCAGGTACAAGAGGGCCAGCTACAAGAGGGCCAGCTACAAGAGGGCCAGCTACAAGAGGGCCAGCCACAAGAAGGCCAGCCACAAGAAGACCAGCCACAAGAAGACCAGCCACAAGAAGGCCAGCTTAAAGAAGGCCAGCTACAAGCTACAAGAAGGCCAGCTACAAAAAGGCCAGCCACACGGAGACCAGCTGGCAGCTGCACGGAGACTGGCTGATAGCTTTACCGAAATCAGCTACACGAAGACCAGCTGGCAGCTAGCAGCTAGACCAGCTGCACAGCATATAGCTGCCAGCTGCAACAACGATAGACGTTCGTAGATTTATCACAGATCACAGATCGTCTGTTTGTAAGTCAACACCATCTCCATCCCTCCAATCTTCCCTCTCTCCCTCTCTACTCTCTCCATTCCTACCGGGTATTCGCGCTTCCGACCCTTTCCTTTCACAAAGGTTAAAAACAAGCATGTGTAATGTGTATTTAGTGCACCACATGTTTAAAAACGCTGTAACACTGGTCTAACCCAGGCAGCTGTTCAAAATTAATATTTTGTTTCAAACACTGCCAAAACCTATTCGCTGGCCACCCCAGCCAGCACAAACTAGTTTGCGGAGTTTTAGTTGAGCCGTTTAGCAAGTGACTAACAGGCTCGGCGAACGACAACCGAGTCCCATACTTCTAGTCACACAAAAGGTAGTACCAAAATACATGTCGAGAGGGGCTACCCACAGCCCAACGACTGTGCGAACACAGTATGTTTTACAAACCATGTGAGCACTGCTGATGCCATGCCGGTCACCTCTGCTCAACGACGGGCAACGACTCCAACTCAGGCGGGTAAGCAGTAACAAAAAAATCGTCGAGTTTTTTGCTCCAGGCGCCGAACTATTTGAGAGACGCGAAAAAAAAAATTCAGGTGTGGCGCCGTGCTCATGAAGGGAGTCTAGCCGTAGGAGCGACGGAGGCGACGGCAGCCGGCTGGCCGCTCTCGACGGTGTTACGTTACTGTCTGTTAAACGATAACGATATTTGGTTCGCCCCCTGCAGCACGCACCGCACACCAACCGCACACGACCGCGTCTCCGTCTCGACTGTATTTGCCTCGTCAGCACACGGGGATTCCAACTGAAGGGAAACTTTCACGTTGAAGGGAAACCCTTACGACACACCTCCCCCAGTCCCCGTGTCATAAGTACACGTGCCCCACCGAACCCGCAGTCGGTTCGGCACACGGCGAGTTCGTTCACTACGGCGCGGTCCTGGTGCCGGTCCGGCGCAGCTAGAAGGCGGCGCCGGCTCGTCCGTCTGCTCGGTAGGTCGCTGGTCGGCTGAGCGGCAGGCGGCACGCGTCGGCGGCGACGGATCTCGGTCACCGGCAGACGGCGCAGCGACGATCAGCGGATGGTGGCGCCTCAGGTAGCGTCGGTTGCGCCACCAGATTCTCCCGCTCGGAACTTTGATGAGGTAGTCGCGGCGTTTTCCAATTCCCACGACGATGCCGGTCCGGTCCCACTGTCCGGTCTGCGGATCCCGCACGTCCACGTGGTCGCCCATTGCGAGCGGCGCTAGTGGCCTGGCGGAGATGTCGTAGTCCCGCTTCGCTTTCTTTCGAAGGTCGGCTGCTCGGGCGTCGCACACGTCCGCCGCCTCTTGCCACTCCTTGGCAAACGTCCTGTGGTGGACGGGCAGAGCTGTGCGGATTGGATGCCCGAACAGAGTCTGCGCTGGTGAGCGGCCGTCAGCGCGGGGCGTGTTTCGCAGCTCCAGTAAGGCGCGTGCGAATTCATCCGAGTCCAGGTTTCCTTCGTCGGTCGCTTTCCGGACGAGATTCTTCAGCTTCTTTACTGCAGCTTCTGCGTGGCCATTGGCCTGGTGATGATGAGGTGATGATATACGGTGGTCCACCCCCCACCGCGTCAGGAACCGGCGGAGGATGCCTGAGGTGAACTGCGGGCCTCCGTCAGACCGGAGGAGCGCCGGCACGCCGGTGGCTGCGAACAGCGCCCGCAGTTCGGTCACGAGGTGAGCGGCGGAAGCCGATCGGGGGCATGACGTCACGTATGGCCAGCCAGATAGACGGTCGACGTAGACGAGGAAAGTTCGTCCTCCGTAGTGAAAATAGTCGGCCGATACAGACTCGAACACCCGTGTGGGCGGCGAATCGTCCTGCCACAGGGGCTCCTTAGGCTGGGCAGACCGGTAGATGCTGCAGCGTGCGCATGACATCACGCACTGCTTGATATCGGAGTCGCATCTCGGCCAGTAGACCGTCTGGCGTAGACCTCCGGCAGGTGGCGTTGATGCCCTGATGTCCATCGTGAAGTCGTTGCAGTGTTTCTCTCCGGAGCTCTTGTGGGATCAGGAGCCGAGGTCCGTATACGATGAGTCCGTCATCGATGGCCAGTTTGTCTCGAACGTTCCAGTACGGACGGACGGACGGGTCGAGACGGTGCTTCTCATCGGGGAACCCGTGAATGATGAGGTCTCGGAGCGCGGTGTACTCAGGATCTCGTGACGCTGCGGCTCGTACCATCTCCAGCGTCTTGTCTTGCAGGGGCGCAAGAAGTGTCCCTTCTGCATCGACGGCAGTAAGGGCCGTGACCACGGACAGATGCAGCGGGTCGGGTTCGGTGACTTCAGCAACCTCGTCCTCCATCGAGGGGTCGTCGACCGGTGCACGGGAGAGCGCATCAGGAATCTGATGGCATGATCCTTTCCGCCAGCTGGCGGTGAAGGTGTACGCCGTGAGCTTTTCTCTCATCCGCTGTAGGCGGCAGTTCTCAATCTCAGATAGCAGCTTGCTGTTGAGCACTGGAACGAGAGGGCGATGATCGACGATGACGTCAAAGTGAGGCATGCCGACCAGGTAGAGATGGCATTTCTTGATTGCCCACACGACACCGGCCATCTCCATCTCGATACAGGCGTACCGAGACTCTACATCGCTCAGGAACCGTGATCCGCACTGGATCAGTCTCCAGTCCTTGAGGCCGTGACACTGGAGGAGAGCGTAGCCCAGTCCTCCGGTCTTGGCTGCATCAGTGCATAGCACTGTGGGGAGGCTGGGGTCGAAGAAACCCAGAATCGGCGGAGAACTGAGCGCCGACTTGACCCTGTTGAAGGCGTTCTCGTGTACTGGGGTCCACAGCCACGTATTCCGAGGCTTCAGAAGATCTCGGAGGGGGGCCGCCTCCTGAGCCACCTCGGTAGAGAAGGAGCTGAGCTGGTTAGCGAGTCCAAGGAAGGATCTCAGGTCCGTTATGTTCTGTGGTCGCGGGAACTCCGAGATGGCGGACGTCTTCCTGCGATCCACTGTGTAGCCGTCCCGAGAGATCTGGTAGCCACAAAATTCGACACTTGTGCGGCCGAATCGGAACTTCTGGGCGTTGAGCGTGATGCCCTGTGCTTCACATTTCTGCAGAATGCGGACGACATGAGCGAGATGCTCCGAATACGTCTCGTCGTGAGCCAGGATGTCGTCAACAACTTTGACGGTGCGTGGCACGTCGCCCAGGGCCTGATCGCCTCGCCGGTTGTACTCATCTCCGGCCGAGACGAGTCCCATCACTGCACGGTTGAAGCGGTACCTGCCCCATGGAGTAATGAAGCAGGTCAAGTCCTTAGAGGAGTCATCCAGGCTGATTTGATAGTAGCCCATTGCTGCGTCCATGGTGGTCAACCACTGCGCGTCTGGCGTGATCGACGAGACCGCCTCATGCGGTGGACGTACAGGGTACGTGGGGCGTTTCACGTACTTGTTCAATCTTGTTAGATCGATGCAGATGCGCACTCCTCCCTGCTTTTTCGGCACACATACCAATGGATGGCACCAGTCGGTAGCGTGATCGACCTTGTCGATGATGCCCCTCGCGAGAAGGTCGTCCAGCTGTTGCTTCACGCCGTCGCGCCAGCAGAACGGAATACTCCTGGCGGCGGTGATGGCAAACGGTCGCGCGCCGTCAGCCAGGTCGATGTGCATCGGTCCGCCGGCCATCTCTCTCAGAGTGCTTTTGTTGTCGAAGACGCTCGCGAATGCACTGATCAGTTGCTCTTCGTGACGAGCTCGCTGTTGTGGTGTCGGCGGCTGGGCACTGGTCCAGGTCGGGATCGACCGGTTGTCGGCCGCGGACGAAACTGAGGTTCCCACTTTCTCCGCTAGAGGTGCTGGTGGACCCGTTGGATCCGGAGTATCCGGTATAGATGTCGCCAGCGAGCGATGATCACGCTCATGGGAGCTAGCGGGCCGGGCAGGAGTTCCTGGTCGCTCCTGGACCGGTGGCATCTGACTGGCAGTGCAGGTCGATGGCGGCCGGACGGCCGTGCCCGACACTGCTGGTTGTGCCGGCCGGCGAGTAGTCGTCGGCCGATCACTGGATGGGCTGGGGGCGGTGGCGGCGTCACGTGCCTGAGCACGTGGTGGCTGGCCGCCGGCATCAGTGCGGCGCGTCGGTGTCGACCGCGCGGCCGCGGCGCGCTGCACGGGCGGAGCGGCCGCCGCACCTCGCACTGGCCCACCTTCAGGTACGCAGAGCGGCCGCTCCGCCGGCGCTCTGCGCCGGCGGAGCGGCCGCGGCGCCCCGCGCCGTCTCGCCGGCGGGCGCGGCGTTCCGTGCTGTTGTTGTTCTGCTGCAGTCTGGAAGACTCATCTGGTGTAACTGCAGCGGGTAGTCGGCCGGGAAAATCCCGAGCTGCACGGAGTCCCACCAGGAGAGCAGTGCTCCTCGCAGCTCGCCGATGACTGCGATCTCCGTAGTTATGCGCCGGGAGCCGAGCTGGATGGTGGCCTGAAATGAGCCGACAGACGTCAGCGGATAGCCTCCTGCAGCTGAGAAGGTCTGGAGTGGCACACCGTTGTCATAGTCCGACACACCCAGAGCGGCGGCCTCCTTTGGGCCGACAACAGTGGCTTCGGCACCAGAGTCGGGGATGCAAAGCAGAGACCCACTGCCAGAGTTGTGTGAGACGAGCACTTTCACACGGGGAGCCGGGTGGGTCACACGACTGGTAGTGTGCACATCAGCTATGAGGTGATGAACATGACGGTGTTGAACGTGCTGCTCCTGAGACTGGGTTTTTCCCAAGCACATGTTTTCAAAGTGGTTCAGTTTGGCACATTTTGAACATTTGTGTCCGCGAGCAGGACAGTCCTGCAACCTGCCATGCCACTTGTTGCCACAGAATTTACACATGTTTGAAGCTGAGCGCGACTTAGACTGTGACCTTGCACGGCTTGTGGACTTGTCTCTCTGATATTGTGATTTTCGTCCCACTCTCTGAACAGCATGGTGAGCCAAGGTGGCACAGTTTTTGGACGCAACTT